TAACTATATTCCATAGAACAAACAGACAAATGTAAATCCTATCACATCATTCCTCTTATCAAACTATGTTATGGTTTCCCACCAAAATCTGAATAATCCAAAATCCTTGCCATGCCCTATAAGACTGTAACAGGACCTATCTTAGGCCTACCTCTCTGACATTGTCTCCTACTACTCTCCCCCCTCTACTATACCATGTTAGTTATACTTGCTATATTGACAGTTCTCAGATATTCTAAACTATCCCTGCTCAGAACTTCTGTTCTTTCCACAGAACTAATTTTTGCATAGATTGCTTCTTTACCACATTCAAGTATCTACATATGTATCACCTCCAACTTCTGTTTCCAGCAATGCAGCAAACTAGGTATCTTGAAAAAACGCCTCCCCAGTAGAGCTAAAAATGCTAGATAATATATTTTAAATATTTTAATGCACATTATTTCAATGTATTATTTTTATATTATTATGTATTAATTTGTAACAATAGATACTATATTTATAATAGTTAACTGATAGTAAATTACCTCACCAGAATGGTAGATAATATATTTTTAAATATTTTTAATGCATAGTTTAATGGGAAAGTTTTTTCAATCCCAGAAACCAAAATGTTAAGCAAAATCATTAATCTCAAGAGGTAAGAGAACATTGGAAACAGTATTTTGTAATTAATGTTTTTGCTTAAACATTTTGGTTTCTGGTGTTGAAAAAAACTTCTCCCATGGGGAGTTCTACAGTATGAAAGCACCATATGGTTATCCCATGAGAGGCAAAATGTTCTGACTTTTTTTAAAGACCAAGCCTGTATTTATTAATTCTTTACATCAAGTATCTTCCTCATTAACAAATTTTTAACTGGAGTTTTACAGCCATGTTAACACAAATAATTTAGGCATCATTTAAAGCTTTATTATTTTCATTGTTCATTTTAATTTTTTCTATATATTTTTGGGGCGCCTGGGTGGCGCAGTCGGTTAAGCGTCCGACTTCAGCCAGGTCACGATCTCGCGGTCCGTGAGTTCGAGCCCCGCGTCGGGCTCTGGGCTGATGGCTCAGAGCCTGGAGCCTGTTTCCGATTCTGTGTCTCCCTCTCTCTCTGCCCCTCCCCCGTTCATGCTCTGTCTCTCTCTGTCCCAGAAATAAATTAAACGTTGGAAAAAAAAATTTTTTTCTATATATTTTTAACATGTGCTGTTTTTTAATGTTTTATTATTATTTATGCCAAATAGAAAACTATAGGAAATGTACCAGATATTGATATGCTCACTACTGAGATTAAATCTCTATTAATATATTGCTTCTATTTAAAATTCTCTTTAGATTATCTTTATTTTCAAAGAAACAAAACACTACAAATACGAGTACAGTCCCACTTTCCACCCCTATCTACCTAGAAATAACACCCCACTTAAAATGAGTATTAACAAACTTATACATGTTTTGTTCTTCTTTTGAGTAAACCTGCTAAATGATTGGTACCATATCTATACTCAACCTTTTTTTTTCTTTTAACCTACAAGTTTTTGAGATTTGTACACATTGACACATTCAAATCTAGTTCATTCATTTCATTCTTATGCTTCCCATTGGACCAAACTACAACGTATTTTTTCATGTACAAATATCTTTGTACATGCCTCCTTGAACAAGAGTTTCTCCCTGATAAGCAAGCCCCAGTAGTAGAAACGTTGAGTTACAGAGAACGTGCATTGTCAATTTTATTTGCTAGTTCTAAATTGCCTTCCAAAATTATACCCATTGCCCTCCCTCCAGTCCTGCATTAGTGTTCTTATTTCTCCACATTATCACTAACAGTTGATATTAGCAAAATTAATAAATATGAAAATATAAAATGTTATGTCTTTGTTTTAATTAACATTTTCTAATTCCTAAAGAGGCTGGACATCTTTACATATATTTATTGGACATCTTTCTTCCTCTCTGAATTTACTATTATATCTTTTGGCAATATTTCTTTTGCTATTTTCAATTTCTAAAAGCATTTTATATATTCTGGACATAGATATTTCATTGGTAATATGAGTTGCAGCTGTTTTCTCTGTGACTTGCGTGTTCATTTTTTTTTTTTTACGTTTTATCATACAGAAGTTTTTTGTCTTAATGTAGGAAAATGTATAAATATTTTCGTTTGCTCTTTGCATTTAAGAATTATCTACTAATGGCATAAAGAATACCTCCCAATTTTATTAAAAGTTTTAGAGCTTCTTTTGGTATTTATTTATTTAAAAAAAATTTTTTAATGTTTGTTTATTTATTTTTGAGAGACAGAGTGTGAGCAGGGGAGGTGCAAAGAGAAAGAAAGACACAGAATCTGAAGAGGCTCCAGGCTCTGAGCTGTCAGCACAGAGACCGATGCGGGGCTCGAACTCACAAGCCGTGAGAGCATGACCTGAGCCAAAGTCAGATGCTTAACCAGCTGAGCCACCCAGGCGTCCCTGGTATTTAGATTTTTAACCTCACTGGAATGTATTTTTGTGAATGATGTGGTATGGAAATCTAAATTTATCTTGTACTGTAACATAGCCAGTATCTTCAGAAGTATTTGTTAAATAGTTCATCCTTTCCTATGGATTTTATCAGCTCTCAAATATAAAGCTCCCAAATATACATTGGTCTGATTTCAGTCTCTCTATTCTCTAGTAGTCTATTTGTCTATCTGCCCAAGTACCTCACGGTTTTAAACAATACATTTTCATATTACTGCCTAGGATCTGATAAAATGACTCATTGACCTTTTGTTGTTTTTTTCCTAGTCACTAAGGCTAATAGACTTTTGTACCCTGCCCCTTACATCAGTCAAAGGCTTCAGGCTGCCCCCTGGATGAGAGGGCAAAACTTCCGGGGCATTTCTGGGTAAGGTGGCTCCGTAAGCCTAAAGGCAATTCTCTGAAGTGTGTAGTCATAAGCCATTAGCAGCAAATACTTACAGCAGTGGAAAGATGGGTGAATAGTAGAAGGGATCTGGGTAGGTTTCTGGTAGTGGGTCTCAAAAGTAAATAGACGGCACATTCAAATTGGGATAATTTATTTATTTAAAAAAAATTTTTTTTAACGTTTATTTATTTTTGAGACAGAGAGAAAGCATGAATGGGGGAGGGTCAGAGAGAGGGAGACACAGAATCTGAAACAGGCTCCAGGCTCTGAGCTGTCAGCACAGAGCCCGACGTGGGGCTCGAACTCACGGACCACAAGATCATGACCTGAGCCGAAGTCGGCCACTTAACCAACTGAGCCACCCAGGCACCCCTCAAATTGGGATAATTTAAAGACAGCATATTTGCAAAGAGACTATAAATGTGTGTTTAGGGTTAGGAAAACTACAAGGGATAGAGGTGTTACTATTTCAAAAACTGGGTGGGGGTGAGGGGGGGCAGAGGGTAATGGCATAAAGCAGTTACTGGAACCATGAAAGTTTCATGAAGAGAAAGTTGCTTTGAGAGAAGTAATGACCTTCATCAGCCCAGAATGACTACTGGTGGGGAAGGGAGGGAGGTTTAGGAAAATAAATACCCCAATTTCATTCTCTTTCCTCCCTCTGACCTCCTGCTGGACTCTCCATTTGCTAAGCTCAACGGGAAGCCAGAGGAAGTTTTTAATACACTGCATATAGAACAACCCCCTGGAGGAGAGCTCAATGGGAAGGATGGAAATGAATGCGGACATTGTTTTCCATAAAGGCAAATAAAAGATGTTTCAGACAAACAAATGTCACCTTCTCTGAGCAATCTTTTCAAACATGCTATCTAAAATAATGTGCCTCTGGGGTGCCTGGTTGGCTTGGTTAGGTTTCCAACTCTTGATTTAGGCTCAGGTCATGATCTCACAGTTCGTGGGGATGCTGGGCTCTGTGCTGAAAGTATGGAGCCTACTTGGGATTCTCTGTCTCCCTCTCTCTCCGCCCCTCCCCTGCTCACCTTCATGTGCTCTCTCTCTCTCTCAAAATAAACTAGAAACTAAATTAATTAATTAAGGTGCCTCCAACCTCTGTCCTTTGTCACTACCCCAACCCCCTACTCAGCTATCTGCCTTCAAAGTACTTATATTTACATGAAATTATATTAAAAATTTCCACAATAATGAAAAGGCAAACCCAAGATAGCTGGGCAAAGTACAAAAATAAATAATTCACCAAACAAAAGTATAAATGTTTAACCACATTAATAATCAAATAAACAAAACGCATTTTAAAATACATAATTTTTTGCATATCAAATTGACATATATATTTTTTTAATTTTTTATGTTTATTTTTTGAGAGAGAGAGAGAGAGAGAGAGAGAGAGAGAGCAAATCCCGGAAGAGCAGAGAGAGGGAGACACAGAATCTGAAGCAGGCACCAGGCTCTGAGCTGTCAGCAAACAGCCTGAGGCGGGGCTTGAACTCACAAACCATGAGATCGTGACCTGAGCTGAAGCCCGACGCTTAACCGACTGAGCCACCCAGGTGCCCGGACAAATATTTAATACAGCAATTTCCAATGATATGGTTTGAGGAAAATACCTAAGGCCGGAGTATAAAATTGGTGAAATATTTCTCAAGAGTAATTTGAGAATTTCTATCAAAAAATTTTAAGATGTTGTTTTACCCAGGCATTCCTCTCTTAGGGATGTACTGTAGGAAATAATTCAAGATGTTCCCAAAGATGACAGTTATTTACAATGACTAAAAACTGCCAACAATCTATCTGTCCAATAACAGGAAATAGTTTATCGATGTTTCCCAAAATGTGTTCCTTAGAGCACTAGTGTCATAAGATTCTTTTTGAGAAAGAGTTCCACAGTAATTAAATTTGGGAATTCCCTTGGAATGAAAGGCAAAATTTACAAGCCAGGCTCACGTGACATAAAAGCTAAGCGACTACGTGGGTTCATAGTGAGTTCAAAATTCTAAATTTCGTCTTATTAGCCCTGAGTGTCAACCATCAGAACTAACAGAAGCAGGTCCACTATGAAGGCGTTTAGCCCTCCACAAAAGTACCTTGTGGTCAGGTGGAGGGGTAACTCCCCCCCCCTCCGCTACAGCCACAGCGATCTCCGACTTCTGCGCTTTGGGCTCTCCCGACTAGAGCCTAGCCAGCCGGAGGACACCACACCACGCAGGCGCAGGAGCAGGAGCAGGCGCAGGCGCAGCGAGCAGCCAGTAGCGAGGCCAAGCCACTCCCCCTGCCCTGCAGCACCTTTACGCCTGGGCGGGGATTTCACAGCAACTTTCAGTCATCGCCCTACAGATGGTAGTGTGCCCTTTCGGCTCTTCAGCGCAGCACGCACACTGAAAGTCTGACTGGTGAGTTCTGATGTCTGCAATACGGGGCAAAGTTAACTAATTGGTTCACTAATTAAACGGATTGATTATCATTTTAACTGAAATTCATTTTTATGTTTTACATGAGATAATTCATTGTGTCGTTTGTTACCCATTTAGAATTTTAAAAGAACGAACGTTTATTATCTCACAGTTTCTGTGGGTCAGGAATCTGGGCACAGCTTAGCTGGGTGGCTCGGACTCAAAGTCAGTCATGAAATTGCAGGCAGGCTGTCAGCTAGGTCTGGGTTCACTTGACCCCGGAAGGTTCAGTTTGGAAGCTTACTCCTGTCATTGGCATGATGCAGTTCTTCGCCAGCTGTTGGCTGAAGGCCTCCTTCTGTTCCTATCCATAGGACATACCCAATATGGCAGGCAGCTTCTCTCAGAGTAAGCCAGAAAGAGTGCAAGAGCCTAAGAAAGAAGCCACAATCTTTTTGTAACCTAATCTCAGAAGTGACATCTCATCACTTTTGCCATATTCAGTTAGAATCCAGGCACTAGGTGCAGCTCACACTCAAGGAGAGGGGGTTACACACAGGCAGAACACCAGGAGGTGGGGATCACTGGGGCCCTTTAGCTGCTGCCTGTTACAGTCATTAACATGAAAGCCCTTGAAATTCCTAAGCGACTAAGACTTGCTAAGTAGCCCCTTCTCTAATCACAACGGAGATCTAACAGAAGGGTGGAGGAAGGGGCCACAAAGAGATACTGAATTTGTGAAATAGATGGGTAGATACCTAACATCGGTTTTTTTCCAATTTAGTTTGGTGAAGATTTTCACTGACTGGAGGAGGTTCTTGGGACCCCGGGGAAGGAAAATGGGAGTGGATGGGTACTGACAGGAAAGGCAAAGGGTGGAGAAAAGAGAAAAGGTCTCAGAAACAATTTTGCCAAGGGCTAATTCAGCTTTATCACAGCAGTGTCACTTCAACCCATTCTGGGCTCATTTCTGGTGCAAATAATCTAGGCCTCTTGTGACTCATCTGCTTCCTCCTGCTTTTATGTACATTTTTTGCCATGTCTTGCTCCTTTGTACCTTGAGAAAAGTCAGAAAGGAACGAAAAGCTGGTAATATTCAAAGCAATCCAGTATTTTATTGCACTTAATCTCCAGAGTGAAAGAATAACGTTCTCCACTCTTGTTTCCAATGCCTATGTAGTTACACAGATAATTGGATAAGTTAATGGGGAAACTCTAAATAATTGCACAAGTCAGCACAATCAATTGAGGAATTAAAAAAAATTGTTTTGACCTTAAATCCCTCAAATGTGGGACCTCAGTCAATTTATTTGTCAATAAATTGGTACCCCCTCTTTCTCAACATTTGTGGGAATACTGTTTTTCCTCCTGAATTGACACAAACGATCTCATCCTTCCACCTACAATTTACTCAGTGAGATATATGAAAGTGGGGTCTATTTTTGGCTCCCTAGCAAAGCTGCTAAAGGGTATAATCTTTTTCTCTGCCCTGCCTGGGATGGACTAGGTGCCATAGGAGGTCTTTTCTATTTCTAATTTTTACAACACCTTTCAGCAAACAGCAGGTAAACAATTTTAATACAAGGCCATTTTCATTATGTGTCTGCTAGAGAATATGTCCCTGCATTAAAATAAACAGTAATAATATAAAAAAAGTTTGCTCATACAATAATAGCAACCTTCCTAAATTACAGTGATTGTGCCACCCAGCAGTATAATACAAAATGTGGTTTTTATCCCAAAAGACACAGAATTTATTATTTTCCACCTACCTGGCATTTTAGAGCACTTGGAACCAGGTTTCTGAAAGAACAATTCAGTACATTAGCTCTCAAATACAAAAAATATATTTTCAGCATTGAAATGACTCATTTAAAGCAGCACTTCAACAAAATGCTGTCCACCCTGCCCTGGTAATTATGTCACGTCTGGTGTATACTAATTTACACAGTGTATTGTTTTCCTGCGTAATTAAGGCTATTAAGCCGAATTCTGAGGCTGTGGTTAATTAATTAAACAAGCACGCAGAGAAGTTACTGACAGAGGCAGAGCCTTGTTTCCACTCTCCTGGTGGGCAAGATGCTAAAGAAATGGCTGTCACCTGGGACTCTCCCTCAGTCACAATTTTCTATTCACAGGGAAAAGTACAAAAGTCATTTCCCAAAAAGTAGACACTTCAATTCATTGCCCCACAATCTCTCACCACGGAATCACCAAGCATGACATAGTATTTAGAAATAAAAGCATATAATGAAACTGATTACCACTTCTCCATACTTTCATCAAAGTGAAGGGTGTTCCAATATACTTGCTTTGGGTTACCTTCAGATACTATCTCTTCATGGATTATAAACTACATGAAGTCAGGGGAAGGTGCTTTGTCCAGACTTTTCATTCTTTTCAAATTCATCCAGAATAGTAGATCTAAGCATTCTTTGTGTCAGCCACGAACACATATGAGAAAATCCTAACTGGCTTGGGTTTCATAATCCTTAAACAATTGTAACATTTCTAATTTTCTTTACACCACACCAGTGCTGTGCTTTACACCCAGTGCACTAGCCCAGGACACTGCCCCCAAAGCACTGGAGAAAAGTGGGATACCCGGAAGCAATGATCTTCAGTATCTCTTTTTCACAGTTATGTAGCCTTTTCAAACATGTCCTTAAAAACTAATCTTTAGACATCTTTCAAATGTTCTGTTTTTTTAACTTTTTATAAATGTAAATTTGTATTACAAAATAAATATTTGTATTTCACAATGACTTCATATTTGGAAAGTGTTAACTTCTCTCTTTCAACTATTCGTAGTGATTATTTGATTATTACTAATCATTGCAGGAGTAGTTATCGAATCTTACTACTGTTACTGTGTCCAAGAACCCAGATCTTCAGGAGAAGTGGGGAACCCACTGTATGAAGAAATGCTATAAATCAGACAAATGCCAGTGTATGGTACTATTCTGTGTATGTTCTGGCAACATAATTAGGAGATCAAGTATAAGACAATTCAGAATTCTTTAATGCACTTAAAATCACTGTCATGAAGCAATGGATGGCAAATTTGCATGTGAAAGGAGTGTGAACAGCATGTACGAAGAATTGTGAAATTACTATAGTATTTATTATTATAACTTGGTGTCATGCTAGTCTCATTTTAGAATGAACTATAAGAATGGATTAAATTAGTGCCATTTTCTTTCCTTGTTAACATCTTTGTCACAAGAGCAAGCTGTCAGAATTTTATCTAAAATAGGCCATGGATTATTCCTCATGATAGTTGGCCATTTCTAAATTGTGGCTTTGATTGGTTGTTCTTACCCCTGTCCATGCAGACATGTAGGTTGAACACAGGGAAATAATAATCTTTTAAGAAACTAATCAGGTTGCAGACACCCTGATAAAGGTAGGAAGGACAGTATTATGTTACGATTTCAAAACAGCCTTTGCTCATAAAACATTATCTTCCGAGAAAATGCTTTTGACTATTGCTAAAAAAAACACTCTTTGACACATGACTTTAGAATAAGGACTACTCAGAGATGTGTAATCTTATTAGTATTTCTCCAAGTTTTTTAACTGTCATAAGATAATGTACAATGAACATTTCTCTCAGGGGTCAGGAGCACCATGGTCTAGTCAACTTTAAGATAAATGGTGATCAGAATTTGATGATTTGTTACTTTCTTCCTGTGTCTTTATCTCACTCATTGGTCCCCTAGGCCTCAGTTTCTACATATAATGTGGAAGCTCTATTAGTACAGCTTTTTCAGAGAAACAGAACCAGGGGGATATAAAAGGAGATTTATTCTGAAGAATTGACTCACCCAATTATGGAAGCTGAGAAGTGCCATGACCTGCCTTCTGTGAGCCGAAGACTCAGGAAACCCAGTGGTGTAATTCAGTTCAAGTACAAAGGCCTGGGAAACAGGGCAGCTGATGTAAATCTCAGTTGAAGGGCAAGAAAAAAGGTGATAAGCCCACCCACTTTCGGGAAGGTTAATCTACTTCACTGAGTCCACTGATTCAAATGCTAATCTCATTCAGCAACATCCTCCCAGACACATCTAGAAATAATGTTTAACCAGATATATGGGCATCCACTGATTCAGTCAAGCCAACACATAAAACTATCACAGATGCCCCTTTCCACTATGATTTTCCTCCCTGCCAATTCCTCATAACAAGGGTTACTATAAGTCTTGGTTTGCCTGGGACTGTCCCACTTTATGCCTGTTGTCTTAGTTCAACTCTTAGAAGCATTTTCTTTCACTCTCAAAAGTACCCCAGCTTGAACAATACATTATATGATCATACACTCATAATACTTTCTAAGAGCCTCTCTGAGACTCATCACTGTTTATATTTTACTACATAGATAGCTCCCTTACTAGACTGATTTGAGGACAGAATCTAGCTTCACTCATCTTTTTGGTTATCACAGGGCCTTGTACAGAGTATATACTAATAAATATTTTTTTAATTAATGAAAATATAGAGTGCTAAATCACTTCAGTGCCCAAAACTAGAGTCATTAACAGTTTTGAAAAACTAGTATTCTAGAAGAAGATAGCCTTATTTTATACTGAGTAGATCAAACCCCACTTGAAACATCTGTGTAGTAGGTGTGAAAGCTTCTGGGTAGAATTTTCATGTGTACCTTAGATGAGAGCACCCAGCTAAGGAAGCAAGTGCAGCTAGCATTCAGCCTTACTCCATTTGTCATTAATATATGTTCTATTTGGTCTAGTGGAGACCTGCTACCTAGTTTCCAGAGGTCAACACAGGTTTTATGGGACCTGAAACTTATACAGTTTGGTGTGGGGTTGGGGGGGGCAGGAGCACTTTCAGAATAAACAAAAAAACGTATGAATACAAAACTAGGTATGAAGGTCAATACTTATTTAGAATAAGAAGTCAAATTTGGAAAAGTTATCAAAGTATCACAAAATTCATAGGAATAATGTAATACTTTTGTTATTTATCTGTTTGGCATACCTCTATAATACTGTTTCTCCTGCTTTTTGGCTACAGAAACTTTTTCTGAAAGACTATTATATTATTTATTTTTTAAGTAATCTCTACCCCCAACATGGAGCTCAAACCCACGACTCCCAACATCAAGCATCTCATGCTCTACCAACTTAGCCAACCAGGCACCACTGGCTACAGAATACTTAAGTGATTTTTTGGCATGTGGTACCCCTTTCCCCAGTGCCATCTGTTGAAGAGACTGTTCTTTTCTCATTGAATGGCCTTGGAGCCCTTGTTGAAAATCAACTGACCATATACATAAAAATTTATTTCTGGGCTCTCAATTCTATTCGATCAGTCCATATGTGTATCCTTATGCCAGTAACACACTGTTTGGATTACTATATCTTTGTAGTAAGTTTTGAAATCAAGAAATATGAGTCTTCCACTTTGTTCTTCTTTTTCACAATTATTTTGATTATTCAAGGTCCTCTGAAATCCTATATATTTCATTTCAATTTTCAAATCAGGACTATAGCAGCTAGAGTAATTTAACTGTGTACAGAAGTGATTGCAAACATATAAATGGATCCCACTGAATCCAAATAGTATGCATTCCAAATCAATTTTCACTTAGTTGTATCCAAGAACTGCTACGGGCTGCTAATGCACTACCCTACCTGTGATGGATGGGAAGTTGAAATGGAAAGGCATAGACAGCAATGGATAAAATATCTTCTTTTGGCAAGTTTTGCTAAGACATATGCCCATATGAACTCATTTCTAGGGCCCCATGTGTGTGAGGTACCCTGAAAGTTTTGCTTCACTGTAAATTTGGCCCCTAGGCTTTATGAGCCCATGAGAACAACCCGCAAATACCTAAATGACATCATATAGAAGTTGGAATTAGGATTTGACTGAGACTACTCTGAAGGTACTGAATGTACTGACTTTAATCTCTGAGAATGATTGATTTAATAATCTGTATTTTGGGGTCTACACCGCACCAAAGCAGCTTTGTGGAAAGTAAGAAATAAATCCAGTCAATCATGTGAATTTATCAACTACACAATCCCAGATAACCTGATGTATAAACAAAGCTTCTCAATTTAGAACATTATCAGTGAGAAATCTATCTTTTTACATCTGTTTCTGTGTGTCTCCCTTCATTGATCTTAAGTTTAAGAACAGAAATTCTCCATCTTTAAATCCCCAACATCTAGCTCAGCATCTAGCCTATTCTGGTTGCATACAAGAGGTACAAATATGTTTTTTTAATCAGTGGAGGAATTAATAAAGGTTTAGATTATTAACCCACAATTTTTATTTAGTGCTTATTGTACACAAAGTATTATGTGGGAAAACTTTTCTTTTGTCCCTCAGGAATCACATGACATTTTAAGAAAATAAGAATTATAGGGGTGCCTCAGTGGCTCAGTTGGTTAAGCATCCAGGTCAGGATCTCACAGTTTGTGAGTTCAAGCCCTGTGTCAGGCTCTGTGCTGACTGAGCAGAGCTTGGAGCCTGCTTCAAATTCTGTGTCTTCCTCTCTGTCTGCCCCTCCCCTACTCACACTTTCTCTTTCTCTGTCTTTCAGAAATGAATAAACAATAAAAAAAATTTTATTAAAGAATGGTAGGGAGACTATCACAGTTAATTCAAAGGAATTGAATGGCTCTGAGTGAAATAATAGACAATTAGAAATAAATAGACCAGTTTCTGGTCAATGTCACATTTACTCAAGTTTGTTTAAAGCCTTCGGAGTGCAGACGCCCCAGGGCTCTTTTTGCTAAAGAAGAATCATTCCTTCAGTGACAACTTGTGCTGTTCCCTTAGGAATACACTAAGACTGACATATTCTGTCCATGTGGAGCTAAAAGTCCTACAGAACTAGATACACACAATCACAATCCCCAGATGATGATGGGATTCAACTACAGCAGCTTACATTCTTTCATTATTAAGGGTCTTCTGACCCCAGTTTCTAACGTGCAATGGTGGAGGGGGACATGTTTTCCCAACAACAACAGCAAATGCTGTCTACTTAAGATAGCATCATATTCCACAGGTAAAGGGGGTCACTCCTACAAGACAGCCCTTACTCCCCCTACACACACACACACACACACACACACACACACACACACACACTTCAGATGCCAGTGGAGAGTTCAAGTTGTCACCGGGGCTTTAGATGAAATTGCTGAAGGTCAGAGATTCCAACCACCCACTCCTTGGGTCTGACTGATTTGCTAGAGAAGTTCACAGAACTGAGAAACATTTTACTCACTAGATTACTGAATTTATTATGAAAGGATATAACTCAGTAACAGCCAGATGGATGAGATGCCCAGGGCAAGGTATGCTGGAAAGGGCTGCAGGCTTCCCATACCTTCTCCAGGGTTCCAGTCTTCCAGCACCTCCATGTATTCACCAGTCCAGAAGCTCTCTGAACCTCTCCTTTTGGGTTTTTATGGAGGCTTCATTAAAAAGGCATGATTGGGGCACCATGGGAGGCTCAGTGCATTAAGTAGCCAACTTAAGCTTAGGTCATGATCTCACGGTCCATGGGTTCAAGCCCTGCATCAGGCTCTGTGCTGACAGTTCAGAACCTGGAGCCTGCTTCAGATTCTGTGTCCCCCCCTCTCTCTGCCCCTCCCCTGTTTCTCTCTCTCTCAAAAATAAACAAACATTAAAAAATTTTTAAAAATAAAGGCACAATTAATGAAATCATTGATCATTGGTGATTGAACTCAACCTCCAGTTCCTCTCCCCTGCCTAGAGGTCAAGGGGTGAGACTGAAAGTGCTGACCCTCCAATCACATGGTTGGCTCCACTGGCAACTAGCCCCCATCCTTAGATGCAATCCAAAAGTTACCTGAGTAACATAAGAAGACACCTGTATAGCTGCCATCACTTAGGAAATTCCAAGGGATTTAGGAGTTCTGTGCCAGAAATGCGGATGAATACCAAATACATATTTCTTATTATAAATCACAATATCACAATTGTTAAGTTGCTCAGGTCTCTGTCTCATGCAGTTAGCAGGTAGCTAACTGGGGTAGTAGTAGCTGCCCCAGTGAGGTAATCAAGATCCCATCCAGGAATGAGCTACAGATAGCAGTCAGTACTGCCAATGTGTTCTGTAGCACTTAGACATCAAAGCAGAGAGAAATTGAGAATTGTAACAAAAGGTTTTTTAGTTGAATTGTTATTACGGACTGAATGTTGTGTCTTCCCAGAATTCATATGGTGAAACCTTAATCTCTGTGTGATAGTATTTGCAGGTAGGGCCTTCGGTAGCTAATCAGATCAAAAAGGTAGAACCCTCATAAATGAGATTAGTGTCCTTATAAGAAAAAAACAAAACAAAACAAGAACTAACTAGCTCTTTTTCCACCTTGTGAGGACACAGTGAAAAGGCAGCCACTGCCAACTATGAAGAAAGCCCTTATCAGAAAGTGACCATGCCAGCACCCTGATCTTGGACTTCCAGCCTCCAGAACTGTGAGAAATAAATTTACGTTGCAGATAAACCATCCAGTTGATGGTATTTTTGTTATAGCCACCCAAATTGCCTAAGACAACTGTTCTAACATTTCTTTCATTTTACCTTTTTTGGGTGTGACAAATTTTGCCCTTCAAATATTAACCATGCTTAGTCAGTAGACATGCTGTTTATGAGTGAGGACAAATAAAACATTAAAAACCAAGGGGCGCCTGGGTGGCTCGGTCGGTTGGGCGTCCGACTTCAGCTCAGGTCACGATCTCGCGGTCTGTGGGTTTGAGCCCCGCGTCGGGCTCTGGGCTGATGGCTCAGAGCCTGGAGCCTGCTTCCGATTCTGGGTCTCCCTCTCTCTCTGCCCCTCCCCCGTTCATGCTCTGTCTCTCTCTGTCTCAAAAATAAATAAACGTTAAAAAAAATTAAAAAAAAAAAAAACAACAACCAAAGCTTCTCTGCCAAAAGCAAAACCAGCCTAAATCTCAGATATACTACGTGTGGAACTAAGAAAGGTAGATGAGAGGAGAATAAAGAATGTTCATAAAAATGGACATTGCTCATTTGGATAAGGCAGAAAAGAAACTAATGTTTTATTCTCTACAGTAAATTTGATGATTCAGGAAACAGAAGCTTAAGTGCTTTAGTATTACAAATTTCAATATTTTAAAGAGAAAATTTTAACCTGTAGCATCAAAAATATTGATGTTTGTTAAGTTTAGGAGAAGCGAGAACAGGACCTTGTTGTGGGAGTCTGGAACAAAAGGACCTGCAGGGAGAGGCAGAGTGCTGAGAGGATGGGTGCTGGCCTTGGTAACATGTGGCCTGGGCTGGAATCCTAGCTCTGCCTCTTTCTCACTCTTCAACTTTGGACATGTAATTCTACATCTCTGTGCCTCAGTTTCCTCATCTGCATTGTGGGGAGGAAGATATTAATATTTGTATTCTATATTACTATGCATAATCTCCTATACCTACTTTAATTATACTAACGTAGTGTTATGAGGAGATAACTTAGTTAAATCATTTCCTCTGCCTTGCCCAGTACCTGGTACTTCATAAACACTCAATGAACTCTCAGAAGAAAATCTTTCAGGGGCACCTAGATGGCTCAGTTGGTTAAGGGTCCGACTTTGGCTCAGGTCATGATCTCATAGTTCATGGGTTCGAGCCCCACATCAGGCTCTGTGCTGACAGCGCAGAACCTGGAGCCTGTTTTGGATTCTGTATCTCCCCCTCTCAGCCCCTCCCCTGCTCACTCACTCTCTCTCGCTCTCTCTGAAAGATAAACATTAAGAAAAAAAGAAAGAAAGAAAGAAAGAAAGAAAGAAAGAAAGAAAGAAAGAAAGAAAGA